AGAGAGAGAGAGAGAGAGAGAGAGAGAGAGAGAGAGAGCGAAAGAAAGAGAAAGAGAGCAAGTTAAAAGGATAGAAGCATTTTTTGAGGTAAATATATATATATATAAATATAGGGTATGAACACAGAACGCCTTAGAGAGGAGACAACAGACACCGGGGCTTACGTTATATAATATCCTATACGCACACGGTTGTTATTCAGTTCGCGATTGTAAATTATTATTATAAAATTGAACCCCACTGAAAAACCAACAAAACGCGCGCGCATTGTCAACAATGGGCGTATGAAAGAATGAGTAAATAAAATGGGAAAATGATTAAAATGTAATTTATTTAAATGCAAAAGGGAATCGTTATAATCGCATAATGGAATTTAAAAAGCTGTCGTACTATGTGCATGTGTGTGTACGTGCAAGTTTTGTGTGTGTGTATGTGTGTGTGTGTAGGTAAGCAACAACATTGGTACTGCTTTAAACAAATTTCACTCGTATATGAACAACACACTCTCTTTTATGACGAGCTAGTCGATTGTGTTGGTTTTTACGATTCGACGAATTTAATTAAACGATAACGTTTGCCATTTGCTGGTGGCACAAATATTTATTAACAATAATACAACCACTACTACATTCGCGCTTTGCTTGTTCGTAAAGAAAAAAAGTTTGCATTAATTACATTACAACGGAATTTCCTCTGCTCCGTTTCTAGCGTTTGGGTGGAATATTTTGAAATGAAATCGTTAAAAGTTTTTTTTTGTTCTCGAACGAAATTAACTCAGCATACCGCGGTCCACGTATAATTTATTCATTTCAGTGTATTGCACACGCGCTGCGTTTTTAGGTGATTACATACATACATTACCAACCTGTCATCGATTTGGAATGTTGTATAAAATGCAGACGATAAAAATTACATTGTCTCTATCGAAAAGTTATATTTGCTGCAATATCCAATTTACAGTCTGTGAAAATATATTGGATTATATTATCGCTTGAAAAATATATAATTTTACCACGTGGCGCTGTTAAGATAGTGACCAAAACTAGTAAAATATTTTGCGGCTGCCGCCCGCCCGTTTGGTTTTGATCAAAAAGTATACTGTGGTTGCAAGTTAAAATTCTTTTATGTTATATATTTTTTTTTTTTACATTTTTTTTTTAATGAAAAAAAATACGGTCTATAAAAACAAGAACAATACATTTGTCTTTCGAGGAAAGGAATAAAAAAATTACTGTCGTCACGTGACCAAAGAGCTACCTTTTATAGTGGCGCTGAGCTTAGAATACGTGAGTATAACGAAGGAAATCAATGCGTGATGAAGAGGGGACGAAGTCGAAAGAATGAGAGAAACGTGTTGCTATCACTATATGATTATTTTTATTACGGGAGCAACAGTGAAGTTCACAGCAGATAAGGAATGATGGCTTTCCTGTTCCGGGGGTAGTCTTCGAACTTGTCCTGGTACCAGCGATGACTAATGAGCGCTATCTCCAACTGGTTGCCCCAAACGAACAGCAGCACGTACTTCCACCCGGAGCTACCCCACAGGACCACGTACCACGCGCCGTACAGCACCATCTCTGTGAACATCTGCGGGCTGGACACCAGCTCGAACAGGCCGCCGGTGACCACGCGGTGCTCGTGCGTGGCCACTCGGCCGTCGCTCTTGCGGACCGCGGCCAGCGCGACGTTGGCGCGCCACTGTTCGCGGTAGGCCCAGGCGAACAACAGTGCACCCGCGACCAGCCGCACGACCTCAGCGAATCCGGTGCAGAACGGGGGGCCCGGCGCGGCCGGCGCCTCGGCCATGATGGTGACGATCATGCCCACGTAGTGCATATAACCGGACGCGTAGTACCACAGACCGACGGCCGTGTCGGAGAACACGTTGACGAAATGCGTCTCGTACGTGCGCCGCGCGCACTGGAGCACGGCCATCGCGACGGCGGTGGACGCGGTGGCCGCGCTGTACGACGGTTCCGCGTGCCGAACCGGGTCCCACAGCCAGCGGCGGCTGAACGCGGCGACGCGCCACGACGCATCGGCGGCGCAGAAGTACGCGTCGGCCATGGCCAGCGCGGCCAGCGCCACCAGCACGGCGGACGCCACGTAAAAGTGCCGGTACCAGCGTTTGGGCACGCTCAGCACGCCGGACGGCCGCGCGCCGCCCGTGATCTTGCCGTACGCGTACAGCCGAAGCACGGAGTCCGGCAGCCGGGACGGGCCGACCGCTTTGAGCAGCAGCGGCACGGCCACGAACGCGAACGTCATGCACACGAACATGGCGTTCACAAAGTCCATGTCGAGACGACGGTCTGTACAGCGGCCGTTGGTTTCGGTGTTGGTGTTTATCGCGAACACTTGATTGACGCGTGCGCTTTGGTCGATCTGTTACCGACACCGCCGTCCAACACGAGTCGATTGTTAGAGGACGGTGCACGGTGCTCGGTCGTTCGACTAGTTCCAACCGTGGGGCATTGTCTCCGGACCGAATACGTAAACGTGTACGAACGTTGCGTACGTGTACTGTGCACAGCAGTTTTCCCGCGCCGAACAAAAGCGTCACGCCACCCGCGCCCCGCCCGCCACCCCGCGGCCACGTTGTAAGTTGTGGCGTGTAAGAAACGGTACGTACACACACGCGCGTTCTACACGTTCTTTCGTTGTAGTTGTGTGCGGGGCGACGGAAATCAATCGCGTTCCGGCGGCGGAAGTCGATGGGAAATTAAAACGGTCCCATCAACGCTGCACGTCACACATAAGTACTGGTAAACATCATATAATATATGCACGTAGCGCGTGCACAATCAAGTTGATATTGTTCGAACGACGAGAGGGCCGCGCGTAAAAAATACGGTGTGTTGCGTTATGATCGTTTGTTCGGCGATCGGTGATTTTGCAACTCGTGGTAACAGGCGATCCCAGTAGTGCGACGAATATTCTCGTTTTTAATGTTAATTATGTTGATTAATGTTAGTTTCAAATGATTTTCCGTTTCGACAACCATTCCGCACGTTTAACGAAAGCAACGTTTAACGTGAATGTTCAGCGCTTTCTCAGCTCCGTGAAAATACCACGTGTACGTTATGCCGGCGACTCGACCCTCCTTAGATAATTTTTTCCGTCGGAACGCGTAGCGCGAGAATTTCGTAAACGGAGCCGGGAATATAAAGTACTGAATGGTGGCTAAAAAATTCTAAAAATCAATGCGTAGATGAGGTCGGCGGGGTAACGTGCGTAAAATACAATAAATAACATGCGCACATATTGTAATTTATTGTTACGCAATGTACACACGTGCGTGTGGTCGTCTTGTCTTTTCGAGTTTCTGGTACAACATAATGTGGACTCAAAATCGCCCTTTATCGTGTGCAGGTGAATGAGCCCGTTACACTAAAAATAACAATGCGATTATCGAGCGGCGGCAGTGAAAAACGCTGGCAGATAGCCCGAAATCGCCTAGTAATTTATCATTGTAGGTATGTTTTTTTTCCGTCCTCGAGACGGTCCTCGGCATCCTATATATTTGTCCAACGCACTCTGCCACTGCTTCTATATTTCTCCTAATTTCTGTCTTTTGACACACCCTTCCGACGAGTGTGTGTACACGTGTAAGGTTTTTATGTGATGCAGCATGATACATTGAACGATGTTTTTTTTCACCGTTAATTCGTAAAAAATAAAAATAAAACAAACTACTAGTAGTTCTCTAATCCCGTCGCCGTCGACGTGCCGCTTACCGGAAATCGGTAGCGTATCGTCGTCGTCCTCGTGCGGCGGAGGTTTAATTCCGTCACAGCGCATCGGATGATAGAAAACATACGGCGCCGACCACCGAAAAAGGACGAAAAACCGGCAATTAAATTAAAAACTATTCGCGTGAGTGTGAGTCTGTCCGCCGAGGGATAATATTTTATTTTCGGCCGCCCAATTAGCAACGGCATGACAAAAACTCATATGTACGTGCGAGTGTATTTTATTTATTCATAATTTTTACTATTTTTTTTTTTCATTTCATTTAATACGCTTCTGGCTCCAAAGTATATATATTTATTATTATTACTATAAAGCACAATTGGACAAAAACCTCGCGTTAATCGTCCGTTGCACCCTAAGCTCTCGGCCGTGGCCGTTACACGTATCGATATTATATATATACATTTACGATATACATAAATAATATGCAGAAAGAATTAGATGTTTACACATATTTACCCTCAGGTATTTAGTCGTAATTATATGATATAGAGTCGTCCGCAATTGAAACACGTGCAAAAGTCATAATCGACTACGTCGCTTCGTCGTTTTTTTCTTTCCTTTCCACATAGTTTGTGTACCCATAATATTAATATTCAGTCGTCAATGTCACGTACGACCCTAGATAACAGACGATCAAGCCACTACTGACAGCGCTTCAAATACCCATCTTTCGGTTGAAAAGTGTGCGATTCTTCTGTGAAAATTGTCCAGCCTAAGTTTACTAAAATTATTATTATAATATTATTTCTCGTTTCGTTTTGATGTATTTATTTTTATGTTGTACGTGTATGCACATCCATAACGGTTTTGGTTTAGTCTTCCTCCGCCTGAAATCTACGTTTATTGTTATTTGTTACCGACATTATGTTTGCAGTTAATTTATAGGTACGCCTACGTATATAGTCATCATATAGCGATTGCGTGGAAAAAATTAATATATTTTTAAACTTCGGTGTATGCACGTACATATTTTAGTTCTGCCAAAAACGATGTAAAAATGCAGTAGTAAAGAATTCTATTGTCGGTAATGGCATGGACAATACTTCCGAAGGAATTTTTTTTGGATCATAATTGTATTCTTTGAGAAAACTATGACTTATAAAATAACCATATTGTTTTCTCCATACACTAAGTTAATATATTTACTATTTACTAATCGTTTAATTTGTTGTGATTATAATACTAAAATGTTTTATCAGTATACTCTTAAAACTATCAAATGTTTTATGTATGCGAACATTAAAAAAAAAAAAAAAAAATACAAGTGTATTCGATGGCATAATTATTTTAATTAAATGTTGTGTCATAAGAAATATTATATTGGTAACAGCGCTTTACTCGTATATAAAAAAACCGCCCTATTAAAATAATTTTTAACTTACATGTATGTATTATAATTTCCTTTTCTCTATATTTAGCTATAGAATACATTCGATAAACTCATTAGACAATATTTCAATTTAATAACCGAATTTAATACGTTTTTGATCTGTTGTGCAATAATATATTATTATGTAGAGTCAGAATGGATGTCAGGTGCCATTGTCGAAATCGTTATTATTAACAACATACATTTTTAAAAAACGTATCCCTTATTGTATTGCGATACTGTGGTAATTTACCAATAGTTTATTTGTCCAATCAATATTTCTATAAAAAAATGTAGTTAAAAGACTACTATATTATCGATATTATAAACTAGTAATTTACATAATCATACTGAACTGACGTTCCGTCACCGTAGTTAATTTACCAGTTTTCTTTGAATTTATTTTCTCATGTTTCATAATGGCTGTTTGACGCGTGACAGTTACCACCGCCGTTCTAGAAATAGCATAATGAGGGCTGCCATGTCTGTTCGTATTAATATTCATATTCATAAGGAGTAAAAATGGTTTTCTTACTTCAAATTTAAGCGGAACCTTATTTAAGCCTTATGCAAACAAAGTTAAACCTTTTTTATGATTATTATCTTATTCCTTAATAATACCTATCACTAAAATACCTGCATGCAGTATATGCTAATACCATCGGGGATGCGTGCATCGCTGGGATCAATTGATCGTTAAGAATTTATATTTCATAAACTCAAAATCGTAATCGTTTTGTTATTTCGTATTAATTATTAATAGCGTTTAATTTTTTTGTTTTTCAGTTGTCGGAGTTGGAAAAACGGGTGCTGGAAGCGGAAACGAGAGCCGTGGAAGCAGAAGGAAAGGTATGTTTACGCCTATATCAAGCCGAATAATTAATATACTAGACGCAACAAATAGTATATTTATTGTGTTTAGTTATACCTATATGTGTAATAATATAACATCTTTCTAAATTGTATCTGTCTATTTTATTCAATGAGTTAAACTTAGACCGTAAGTGTACAAGTCAATAGTTTTAATGTTGGATTTAAATAGTGAGTTAGATAGTTAAGACCCGTGTCTAATTGCAGTTGGCTTTGTGGTTCTAAAGAAGTGGATCGGTCGAACTGTTCAAATATGTAACTGCTGGTTCAAGTAGCTCCAGTGATTTATTTACCTATCTTTGTAAATGCTTTGATTGATAATGACAACATTAAAGTTATAAGTTGTATTACATTTTCGATTAAAGGAGTACAGGATTTATATTATTTTATATATTACCACCGCCACGCAGCGAATAGTCGATATTTTCTGAATCTGCGTTCCTTTGTAGAATACACATTAACCGTATATTTGTATATTATTTGATAATGCTTATTCGCCAAAATAACTAAAAACCGCTTTAGTTTGTATGGGAATTATTTTCGTATTTTGCGCTAAATAATAATAATCCTATACAATAAAACTAGTATTATACGTGTAAATCTTTTTCTTTATAATCATTAAAATATGTCGAATAGATCCGTTTTGTAGTATTTATTGATGCGGAACATTTTTTAAGCGCGTTTGTTAAATCCGTTAAAAAAAAAAAAAACCCATTTCGTGCGTATCCCGAAAAGTATATACATGGCGCAGAGAACCTTAGCAATTTATTATACGGAACTTGTCTGAAAAACTTTATCTGGATTGGTCACAATGAGTTTATTATAAAATCAATACCATAGCTGTTTGCGATACACATTACATTAGTTTAGCCTCAAAAACTCTCGTTCTCGATATCACGTATTATCGTTTGTGATGAACCGTGTAATATAATAATTGATGGATGCTGCACCGTTTAGTTTCCCATCACGAGAACAAGACAGCAGTTTCCAGTTAACAGACGATGGATCGATTGGGTGATAGTGCCTGTACTGGTTATAGTCATATTGCACCAGGGCATACCATATTAATCGCTTAACAATATGATCGTAATAACTCTCCTTTTCGGGTTACTAGGTCGGCACTGAGTTAGTGTTTGTGCGAAAGAACTGATTCCATAATAATATGACACTATCGCACACCGTTGCCGTTTAACGATTTCGATCAGGTTTTATGTCTGAAAATAATACGTGTTATTTTAGTTTTTATTTTATATACATAAATAGCACTTACACAATATTATGTAATATATGATATTAAATAGAATAAAAGTATATAATACCATTTTTCGTTTTGTTGAAGAATTTTCTGCAAACCTGCCTCTCTTTCTCTTTTTTTTGGATGATATTATCATTCTGACAATGCGAAACGTCTTCGTATTATTGTCATATATATATATATTGTACCTAAGGGCTATATACGACAGTATTTATAATTTACTATTTCCACCAACTTTTATCATACTAGTATGCTGTAGTAATATATATTATTTTTTAAGTTTTATTTTCGAGACCTGTGCAGTAGCCAAAACGAGGACTTGCAGAACTCACGCTCGTCCACCTCCTTCACAACGTTAGATCAATTTTTACTCATTTATCTTCTACCATTTAAAACCAAAATATGTATATGTTTAATGTCTAGTTTGAACTTATATAATTTATTAGTATTTTTGTTATTTTAATAATTACCAAAATACAAAAAAAAAAAAAATTAGAAACTTTGTAGAAGTATATGAATGCATCACTTATTTAAATATTATGCTGCATTACGTTGCAGCTAAAATTCTAGTAAAATTTGTAAATAATCATGTTCTACGAATATGTATTTTTTTTTTTTTTTTTTTGGTACCGACTAATCAATTAAAACTTAATAAATCAATTATGTGATTATTTTTAACTAAAAACATTTTTAAACATTTTTTGGCGCTTATATGTGCCCATCCGTTTGTATTAGTACACTATAAAAATCATAATTTTATATTTTAACACTGTATTCTATTATAATAACACTACTAATACTCAATTCAGATAGGTCTTATTTAGATAAGTATATGAATTAATTATTATTATATGGCAGGCTTTTCATTATTTCGATAACAATCCACCAATAGTTTTAAGTGCTTAAATATTATTGGTTTTATTTTGAAGCCGCTCATAATAATAATTTATTTCACCTATATAAATATTATTTTTATAACAAATGACGATTCACATTTGCTTATGTCACAGATTACTGTATACATATGTGTGTGTTTTTTTGGTGTACATATTATAGGCGTATTGGTTTTCTATTCTACCTATAGCGAAAACAGATTGCTATGTACTTAAAGCAATATTGCATTTTCGCGTGAAAACTGATTAAAACTTATCCCCTGTGCCTGCTTGTATATATTGCTTTCGGCCTATAAAGTTCCCTTTAATTGGTATTTTTCAATTACCTGCTTTCAACATAGAGACATTCTTGGACATTTGATAATTTAACATGTGTTGTCAATAATTGCCAAGATAACCTAGTAGTGCAAGATGTTTGTCACGTGCCAGTCACGGTGTATTACAGAATATAGATTAATGTATGAAAAATAAAAAAAATCTGCTACGATCTAGGTCATGCCTGGATTATAATATATAAGGTTTCTTATTTCGTCTACTTTTCTTAACTTTTATTTTTGATTATCTGTATTTTTACCTGTAAGAAAATATTGTCGACTGAAGATTATATTGTTTTATATTGTTTAAGTTATCGTCGTTTCTTTTTAATAAACTTATTTAAATTTTTTATTCGGAGAGAATTTTATTATACGTTATTATTATTCTTTTATCCCTCAGTGTAAAATACATACAAACAATAAGTAAATAATACTTAGCTAAGGAAAGTAGACGTTTGAATACATTAAAAAAAAAAACTTACAAATCATGTGTGTTGTTATCATATTCCATTTTACTTTCCACTCATACTATTGTACATGAATCCATGTTGGTCCCTACAGGCCATGGACACAATCTGGCAATATTCTGTAATTGCAGTTTGATGACATTCTATTGATTGGCTCATTATAAGACCTGCAGAATAGTACCTTGATTTTATACAGCTAATAATCTGATTTGAAAATACGATTTTATCCTCGTTTATTTCAATTGGTTCTATAAACTGCAGTTTATTCTGTCGATATCCAATTCGTTATTATTATTATTATTATTATTATTAATACTCGAAGGACCGTGGTATAAATTGGCTATTTCTGTTTATTTCATATACGTAGCTACCAAAGATAAAATTATATTTGCGAATGCGCAATTCCACTTGTTAAATTTGTTATTACAGTTATTTAATACCAGTTATTAAACAAATAATATAAATATTAAGTGATATGTCCACATAGTTGTTATATTTTTTTGCTATGCGAGACGATGTACAAACTTTTTTTAAGTGATTCAATAATGAAGATTTTGTTTTCTCCATTATTTAGAAAAATTGGGATATCGTGGGTGGGCTGCCAAATATCCTGTCCTATTAATTATTTTATATACATACATTGAGTTGTTTACTTTGGTTCTTTTAATACAACTAATTTCTGTTATAGTAATTCCTGATCGAATATTGTTTTTTTTTTTTTTACGAAATGAAATGAGTTGCTTAGCTATGTATACCACACGTTTTTTTTTTTTTTGTTTATGTATACTTAATTAAATTACGAACTTGAATTTTGTTATAATTTGATGTTTTTGACAACGTAGGATTAAACGTGACTGGAAAACATGTTTTTCGATTGTTATTATTTTCAGCCCTTGTTAAATTTAAATTTGAAAATGTTAATTAAAGATTTCGCGAATGAGATTTAGATATAACAGAATAATATTTATTTTTTTCACAAAAAAAAGGTTTCAAAACTAACTTGATTTTAAATTATAGATTAGGAAACGCATTAATTTATATTTATAAAATAATGTTCTATCATCTGTATTTCATCGTGTTTTTTTTTCTAACAACCAATTAAAGAAATGTATGATCCCATAATAATATACTACGTTATACGTGCAGCATAAACACGACTTAGTAAATTATTCTCGTCTGATTTCAGCAATGTATGTTTATGTTTACTAAATGTGTATAATAATGTCTGTGATGACAAGAACATTAATTTCTCTAAACTCGAGAAACATACTCTATTCATGGTTTTACGTATTTCTACTTTTTTTAGGTTTTTTAAGTTTTTCGTACCTACTAGTAGTTAAAATCTATAATGGTTTTTTTTTTTTAATGGTATAAAATTATTTTTTAGTTTAAACTATTTTCTAGATGTAGGTTAGGTAAACCCTGCAAGAAAATAATTTTATTTCATTTGAAAATATGTTTTAATGTTTTATACGTAACATAATTCCGTTTGTTCAGTAGTATATGTGTGTGTGTGTGGGTGTGTGTATGTATGTATGTGTATACACTGTATATACAAAATGTACGCAATTCCTATTGTACTGAAACCCAAAACCAAATAAGGGTAAAATTATTTTTGTATTGGACAGTAGAAACTGGGTTTCATAAATATATATATATTGTAGTTTCTCCTTGTGTTGATACAGTGTTGTGTTTCTTTTGGATTTTAAAATGCCTTCTCTACATAATGGGACGTTGTCTAACTACTGAAAAATAAAATGGAACGTGTTTTTACATAAAACTGTTCAAATAGAAAAAATATTTACGCGTGGTGTGTATTGTTTTTGTTATTCAAATGTTAGTTTAACGTATACTCGAAATAAAATGAAATTAATCAGTTATAAATTTAATTTTTAATTAAATTGGTTTAGCTTTTATAAAAACTGTGGTAGGTTGTTGAATTATACATCAGGAATCTAGTGGAATTTTAAATTAATTCAAAATAATGAAGGGTATTAAATTAAAATGTTTTCAATTACAGGCACTTGACCCTAATATCACTCCTTTCTAA